GCAATGACCAATCCATTTATTGACATCAGTGACGCGTATTCTTATCTTCAACTGTTTTGACACCGGCCGTCAAAGACACGTATTTCCCGTACGGCTTTTTAAAATAATATAAATGTTAGGAGTGAAAATTACATTTCGGGTTTTATTTATCTTGTTGGTACATTGGTATACATGTTTCTTGAAAGACGTCATTGAATCAAAAGACATTTTTACATAAAGGTCCTGTCCCACCACTGACTGATAGAGGCTGATAGCTTAAAAGTGACGTCACTGTTATAGGGGATCAAAATCGATATTACCATCACACATTTTACACGTTGGATTGTTATAAAACAATTAGCAATTTGGTAGGACAGGCCCTAAAGATAGTATAAATGCGAAAGTTTAGATGGATGGCTGGATTGGTAGATGGATGTTTGTTAGAGTTTGTAGCCTAAACGGCTGAAGGGATTTCGATGAAATTTGGTATAGATGTAGAGGATAGTCTGGATGAACACATAGGGTCACTTTTATTGTTTTTTTAATTCCACGCGGACGAAGTCGCGGTCAAACGCTCGTTTAAAATAAAAGCAACAATAATACTCCAGTAACAGATCGTCTTAAAGGAAACAAAGATATAATAATTTGAACTTTAACAATGACAAATTGAACTTCTAATCAAGCATTCGGAGCTAGAAATTGTCTAGACAATTTAGGTCATTTGAAACTAGATCGTATTTCACGGAACCCACTCGATCGGTCTTAAGGTCATTCAGTTGTTTAGATAAAGTAAACGAATTGTCTTCGTATTGTTCTTAATTAAAATACAAAGTACAGAGAATTACTTGGGGTTGGAAAAAATATGCCAGTACTAGCTTCCTCCACGACTTCGTTCGCGTAGAATTAAAAAAAAAAAACAAAAGCGGCTAGCCTATGTATTCTATCAGAGTCTATACAAAATTTCATCAAAATCCATTCAGAAGTTTAGGTTACAAACTCTAATAAACATACATCCATCAATCTAAACTTTCGCATTTATATTACTATGAAGTATGATAATGGAACAGTAGCCAGCACACCAGTAAAATACTATATAACTAGTATCTTGCAAACAGTATGTATCCAGAGGTGGCGAACATTTATGCATCATAGTGTCATTTTTTAAGACATGTTCAATGTTTAGACGTGCCATCGAATAATTTTAACTACGATTACGTTACTTCCATAGTGCATCTACTTCATATTTTTTGTAGTGTTTTTATGTTTTTCCACGTGCCCACAATGTCGTGTGCCACTCATGGCTTGAGTGCTAGGTTCGCCATCCCTGCTCTACCCCCTTTAACTTGCATGCCCGTAGCTGCCTCGATGTCAAATCTTTTTTTTTATAATATAAAGTTGACCAGACCATCTGAATGGCAAAATGGCAAAGCGACTATAGATATCCAATTGCAAATGCGTTGCCTACCGTTAATAGACGGAGGATGCGTCAAATCTACTTTCCCTTCCCATCCTTTCTCATAAGATAATAGGTGGGAAGGATTAGGGACCAAAGTTTGGCCTCCGGCACCACACTGATCAGACTGTACGCGAAATTGCTCCATCTTCACGTAGTTTTCTGTGTGGTCGTGACATCGGGCGAGCCGACCTATTCGTGCGAAAATGTTAAAGCGGACTCTACCACTGTCAATCTCGCGCTATCTGCATGATAGTGCATGCACGTGCAGATATGTGTTATCAAATGGCATAAGGATTCTCGTCTGTACATCTGTCAGAATTCTATGGGAATTATCAATGATTAATATGAATTTTACGTTAATGCATAAATGATTTTTTTAAAGTCTAGATTCTAGATGATAATTAGAATTCCAGTATGAGTGCTTTAACAAAACAGTCACGATTTCTTTTAGACATAAAAACAACAAATTTTAAACTGTAATGTTTTTCCATTAAGAAAAGAGATAATGGTTTATATATTTTTACAAACTAAGAGCGCACAGACAACTGTTTAGACTCGCTTTTATATGAGCCTTTATAGAGGTCCACACCACTCGATTTTTAGTTGTGCAACTAAACAGTTGAATTGGCTGCGAAACAATCGACAATCGCACAACTGTTATGCGGTAGTTTAGTCAAGAGTGTGCTCTAAAAGACATAACAGAATAATTTAGAACAATGCTATCTATTACGTGTGTACCACAGACAAGATTTGACTTTTATCGTAAAATCTCGAAAGTGAATGATTAATTGTCTATGATAGAACTCGATAAATGATAGCCTAAATAATTTAATTGATGGACGATATTTTTTAAATCACACGCTCATCACCTTTTCAATTATTTTATTCACTAGATTGTAACAAAAATAGCAATATAGTGACCAAAATAAAAACAAAAAGTCCACCTCAACACAAAATGGAAGTAACTTAGTTGATTCTTACACAAAATATTTCGTAACTTACATTGACAGTACAAACTTAGTAAACCAAAAGTACTGTTTCGACTTACTAAACATTCTGACTAACTTGATAACTTAGTACAATTAAAGAAATTGTACCTTAGCACCTTTTAATAGAGTTAAAATTTACTTCCAAATATTTAAATTATGTTTTACTAGCGTTTTGTAGGCGTTTGATTTATATTTCCTGTTTACGAAAGATAATACGACCAATTTATTAAATATTATCACTAGTACAGAAAATCTAGATGAATCTAGATCTAGGGCATGCTAGTTAGGTCAATGGATTGCATCTGTGTAGTTAAGAGCTGCAACCACTGCCAAGAATGCATACAATGTGTGATAATTGATACGACTCTAAGTGAACCACAAAACACATTGAATATATAGAAATGGACTAGGCAAAATTCTGCAAAACGTGTGATGCTGACGCAAGTAACATTAGCACGATTTTATAAACATACTTATTTAAAAATTAAAAATAAAGGTTGCTTTTTCACCGAAATAAAGCACTGGCCATTATAAAAGATAAAAAACACATAATCGACACTTTTTCATAGTTTCAAATAAAAGAAAAAACATACTGGCAACTAACAAGTGATAAAAAAACGATAACTCTTCGCTATTCAATTGAAATATAAACAATAACAAACGCTATCTATAGACTATTAAAAGTAAAATAATATAAAAATAGTGGTGTGCTAATTTTGTTTTGTCGATATTATTTCTATTTCAAAGAAATAGGTCAATGTACTTATCTACGCATTAAAAATAGACGTGCAAACCCAAATGGCTTTGGGCAGAATATATTAATGCGTTACGCAAATAAACTAAATTTTATTTCTTTTTTATCTAGCAAACTATTTTAAAATCAACATCTAGGACATTGTTACTTTTAAAGTTCTTTGACATGCTTTCTGGTTTTACACAATATTAAATTCATAATATTTTTTTTAAACTATGCAAATAATAAACAAAACTTGCTTATCTTAGTGATAACATTTTAAAAAAAGACTTAAAAGTAAAGAAAAAAATAATTGTAAGTAATAGTTACAATTTTAAATTTCCCTTTATATCTTTTGATTGACAGATAAATAGGAAACAAAAATAATGTACTATACTCTCTAATGTCGCCTCTGTTTTCGATTGTCATAATCTATGCCAATTAACGATTACATAAATTGCCGTTAGGGCTGTAATCGCTAATTAAATGTATCTAATCGCTATTCGTTTGTTTTCGTCGATAGGAACAACACTACTGAGGTATAAATGGGCTAATGTTCTTTTATAATCTGTTTTATGGCTTTCATGTTTTATTTTTATAGACTAATGGCCATCATATTATATTTTTGGCTATCATTTGTAACTTCGCGGCGGTGTATGACCTATTTTTATTCGGCTAGACTTAATATCGATTTGATATTGAGAATTGTTTGGAATACTTTACCGTGTAACTGCAATGTTGTAACATTTGTAGGATATTATCACCAGCTACACGTCTCCACTATAGGGCTCGGAGCCTACCATATAGTAAGGGGTGACTAGGCCATCAACCACGCCGGCCCTATGCGGGTTTGTTGACTTCACACATATCTTACCGATATGTGCAAGCATCATGATGTTTTCCTTCACCGTAAGGATTTCGGGAAAATTATGTAATAAAAATCGAAAATTACATTGGTACATAGAACCCAGGACCTGGACAAGTCAAGTGCTCAAACCTTGAGCCCTGAAGATATAAGGGATGTCAATAATTTTTAATGTATTCAATAATATTTTCTTGTTCACAGTAAGCATTTGTTGGTGTTCCTCGCGTTGGTCTGCGCATGCACAGCATACTGGGGTCCAGATTTACCCCCGGGACCGTACTGCGGGAAGACAAACGGTTGCTGTAACGACAGACAAGATTCATGCGCTCACAGAATATTGAGTAAGTTTTTTTTAAAGAAAATAGCTTTATTGCCAGCTAGTAATGCATTTAGATTTAATCTTTAGGAACTAAGATTTGTAATAAATGTTTTTATACTAATAGTTTAAAGCTGATAATTGAAAAACCTAATCTTTCGTTTTGGATGGTAATCGATTTATTATTTTAGTGCAATCAGTATCGGAGTATCGATTTTAAATCGAATTTTTTAGCTTGACAGTCAGAATCCTGTACATCGTGAATGACGAAAAAAGAATACCATTTTAATGATCTTCAAATGATAGAATCTGGTCATCTATGACGTCACCATTTAGGTTATATTCAATATAAGTCAGTGCGACTTAGGGCCCTTCAAAGCAAGCCTACCATTTCCTCAAAGGTCAGCAATGCTCCTCTGGTATTGCTGATGTCCATGGGCGTCATTAAAAACCTCAATGTTTCCGATTGTTTGCCCCCTTTTCTTCTATAAAAAAATGTTAACTTATCCAACAGATACATTATGTTACTGCGACGAGTTTTGCAATCGAACCCGGGCCCATGACGATTGCTGCCCGGACTACGAGCCCGTCTGCCTCGGCCTCACTCCCGGGAACTTGATGCTCCCGTGCCAACACAACGGGAAGAGTTACTTCCCCGAACAAACCAGGACTGAAGACTGCAACTTATGGTGAGTAGACACGAAGAGAAGTTTACAGCAATAGGACTTTGTACTGCAATTCAATGTACATTTTTCTACCACCTTCCAATGATTTTCTTTAAAAAAATACTCTGTAATAGCCAGTGGATGGGATTTATTTTATGAAAAGACATCCCCTTATAAAACTAAGTTGTAATATGAACTATTAGATATATTTTGGCAGTCTCAGTATGAGTGGATTTTGGGTAGGGTGGGGGAAAAAACAGTGTAATGTGATTTTATCCAGCGCCCTGGGCGGTCGCCCAGCCGCGCCTTATCCTAACGCCATGCTATTCGGGAGTAAATTTAGGCTTCGAGTAATAGCGGCTTAAGTTCTTTTAAGTGTTGCGCGCGATGTTATTGCGTTTTAAAATAAACAAAATGACTACTAAGTAAACAGTGACAGATGCTTGTAATGGGGATGTTTCCTAATTTTTGGAATAGCCTTTATTTTGTAGATAAACCATGTATGAACACGAAAAAAAATAGTATAAAATATAAT